ATCGTGAGATCTTTCATGTTCATTTTTCTTTAAGGTAGCGAAAAGGTTTCTTTATCAAATATTGTCACATGTGCTTAAGGAGTCACGTTTCAAAAATTTGTTGCGATTGCAAAGGGTGAACTGAGTAAGTGAGCTAAATTTTCGGGAAAATAATATAAGAAAGTTGGACTTCTTCTATGTTGTTGCGGAATGCGTTATCCGCATAATATATGATTTGAACTCTTTGTTAAAGTACTGTGAATTTGGAACTTAAATTTTAATTTTAAAATACCAACGAATTATTTTACTTCATGGTTTTTGGCTAAATATTTACGCGAAACGCTATGGATTTTCTGATGTTAATTTAATAATATGTATTGGTCGACAAAATCAAGTTAAAATCTGTGTATCACGTCGGATTGGAATATTTATAAAGAGATGCATAAAGAGTCACCTCTGTTTTGGAAATATATAATTTTAGTCCTTTCAAACGAGAACACTTTTGCTTACAATTTGATTTAAATCTGTAATAAGCTTGTCTTTGAATTGAACTTCATACTCCGGAATACCAGTATCCCTAATTTAATTGTAAGGCAGAGTATTATTTGTCTGAAATAAAAACCATTATTTCAGTACATATACAGGAAATAAAAATTACAAATCACGCAATACTTTACTTTATAAAAGTTATACAATAAATTTGTAGGGCCTAGCTTCTACCTGATAAACAACCGAAAAAATAAAATTCAAAAAGTCAACAAAAAATTTGGGATTATTGCACAAAAATAGGAGATATTTGTACATACATATAAAAGCAGAATATTGTTTATTCATGGTTTTTTTCGTTCGTCTTCGCGGACCCCCTAGGATTTTACAACGGACCACTAGGGTCCGCGGACCCCCAATTGGGAACCGTTGGTTTAGTCTATAGTTAGTCTATAGTTTAGTCTATAGTTTAGTCTATAGTTTAGTCTATACTTTAGTCTATAGTTTAGTCTATAGATTAGTCTATAATTTAGTCTATAGTTTAGTCTATAGTCTAGTCTATAGTCTAGTCTATAGATTAGTCTATAGTTTAGTCTATAGTCTAGTCTATAGTCTAGTCTATAGTCTAGTCTATAGTCTAGTCTATAGTCTAGTCTATAGTCTAGTCTATAGTCTAGTCTATAGTCTAGTCTATAGTCTAGTCTATAGTCTAGTCTATAGTCTAGTCTATAGTCTAGTCTATAGTCTAGTCTATAGTCTAGTCCTATAGTCTAGTCTATAGTCTAGTCTATAGTCTAGTCTATAGTCTAGTCTATAGTCTAGTCTATAGTCTAGTCTATAGTCTAGTCTATAGTCTAGTCTATAGTCTAGTCTAGTCTATAGTCTAGTCTATAGTCTAGTCTATAGTCTAGTCTATAGTCTAGTCTATAGTCTAGTCTATAGTCTAGTCTATAGTCCTAGTCTATAGTCTAGTCTATAGTCTAGTCTATAGTCTAGTCTATAGTCTAGTCTATAGTCTAGTCTATAGTCTAGTCTATAGTCTAGTCTATAGTCTAGTCTATAGTCTAGTCTATAGTCTAGTCTATAGTCTAGTCTATAGTCTAGTCTATAGTCTAGTCTATAGTCTAGTCTATAGTCTAGTCTATAGTCTAGTCTATAGTCTAGTCTATAGTCTAGTCTATAGTCTAGTCTATAGTCTAGTCTATAGTCTAGTCTATAGTCTAGTCTATAGTCTAGTCTATAGTCTAGTCTATAGTCTAGTCTATAGTCTAGTCTATAGTCTAGTCTATAGTCTAGTCTATAGTCTAGTCTATAGTCTAGTCTATAGTCTAGTCTATAGTCTAGTCTATAGTCTAGTCTATAGTCTAGTCTATAGTCTAGTCTATAGTCTAGTCTATAGTCTAGTCTATAGTCTAGCCTATAGTCTAGTCTATAGTCTAGTCTATAGTCTAGTCTATAGTCTAGTCTATAGTCTAGTCTATAGTCTAGTCTATAGTCTAGTCTATAGTCTAGTCTATAGTCTAGTCTATAGTCTAGTCTATAGTCTAGTCTATAGTCTAGTCTATAGTCTAGTCTATAGTCTAGTCTATAGTCTAGCCTATAGTCTAGTCTATAGTCTAGTCTATAGTCTAGTCTATAGTCTAGTCTATAGTCTAGTCTATAGTCTAGTCTATAGTCTAGTCTATAGTCTAGTATAGTCTAGTCTATAGTCTAGTCTATAGTCTAGTCTATAGTCTAGTCTATAGTCTAGTCTATAGCCTAGTCTATAGTCTAGTCTATAGTCTAGTCTATAGTCTAGTCTAAGTCTAGTCTATAGTCTAGTCTATAGTCTAGTCTATAGTCTAGTCTATAGTCTAGTCTATAGTCTAGTCTATAGTCTAGTCTATAGTCTAGTCTATAGTCTAGTCTATAGTCTAGTCTATAGTCTAGTCTATAGTCTAGTCTATAGTCTAGTCTATAGTCTAGTCTATAGTCTAGTCTATAGTCTAGTCTATAGTCTAGTCTATAGTCTAGTCTATAGTCTAGTCTATAGTCTAGTCTATAGTCTAGTCTATAGTCTAGTCTATAGTCTAGTCTATAGTCTAGTCTATAGTCTAGTCTATAGTCTAGTCTATAGTCTAGTCTGTAGTCAAGTCTATAGTCTAGTCTATAGTCTAGTTTATAGTCTAGTCTATAGTCTAGTCTATAGTCTAGTCTATAGTCTAGTCTATAGTCTAGTCTATAGTCTAGTCTATAGTCTAGTCTATAGTCTAGTCTATAGTCTAGTCTATAGTCTAGTCTATAGTCTAGTCTATAGTCTAGTCTATAGTCTAGTCTATAGTCTAGTCTATAGTCTAGTCTATAGTCTAGTCTATAGTCTAGTCTATAGTCTAGTCTATAGTCTAGTCTATAGTCTAGTCTATAGTCTAGTCTATAGTCTAGTCCATAGTCTAGTCTATAGTCTAGTCTATAGTCTAGTCTATAGTCTAGTCTATAGTCAGTCTATAGTCTAGTCTATAGTCTAGTCTATAGTCTAGTCTATAGTCTAGTCTATAGTCTAGTCTATAGTCTAGTCTATAGTCTAGTCTATAGTCTAGTCTATATTCTAGTCTATAGTCTAGTCTATAGTCTAGTCTATAGTCTAGTCTATAGTCTAGTCTATAGTCTAGTCTATAGTCTAGTCTATAGTCTAGTCTATAGTCTAGTCTATAGTCTAGTCTATAGTCTAGTCTATAGTCTAGTCTATAGTCTAGTCTATAGTCCTAGTCTATAGTCTAGTCCTATAGTCTAAGTCTAGTAGTCTAGTCTATAGTCTAGTCTATAGTCTAGTCTATAGTCTAGTCTATAGTCCTAATCTATAGTCTAGTCTATAGTCTAGTCTATAGTCTAGTCTATAGTCTAGTCTATAGTCTAGTCTATAGTCTAGTCTATAGTCTAGTCTATAGTCTGTCTATAGTCTAGTCCTATAGTCTAGTCTATAGTCTAGTCTATAGTCTAGTCTATAGTCTAGTCTATAGTCTAGTCTATAGTCTAGTCTATAGTCTAGTCTATAGTCTAGTCTATAGTCTAGTCTATAGTCTAGTCTATAGTCCTAGTCTATAGTCTAGTCTATAGTCTAGTCTATAGTCTAGTCTATAGTCTAGTCTATAGTCTAGTCTATAGTCTAGTCTAGTCTAGTCTATAGTCTAGTCTATAGTCTAGTCTATAGTCTAGTCTAAGTCTAGTCTATAGTCTAGTCTATAGTCTAGTCTATAGTCTAGTCTATAGTCTAGTCTATAGTTAGTCTATAGTCTAGTCTATTCTATAGTCTAGTCTAGTCTATAGTCTAGTATAGACTATAGTCTAGTATAGACTATAGTCTAGTATAGACTATATGTAGTACAGTCTATACTCCAATCTATAAACTAGTCTATAGTCTACTGTATTATGAAGTCTATAGTCTAGTCTATAGTTAAGTCTTTAATATAGTCTATATTCTAGTCTATAGTCTAGTCCATAGTTTAATCTATAGGCTAGTCCATAGACTAGTCTATAATCTAGCTTATAGTCTACTCTATAGTCTAGTTATTGGCTTGTCTATAGTCTAGTCTATAGTCTAGTTATTGGCTTGTCTATAGTCTAGTCTATAGTCTAGTCAATAATCTGGTCTATAGTGAAGTCTATAGTCTTGTATATAGTCTAGTCGTAGCATAGTCCATTCTATGGCCTAGTATATAGCATATTTTATTTTTTGGTCTAGTATAGCCTATGGTAAAATCTAATTCTAGTATATAGTATAGTCTGCAGTCTATTGTGTAGTCTAGAATATAGTCTAGTCTATATTTTAGTATACAATATAGTATACAGTATAACCTATATTCTAGTCTAGGGAGGAAGGAACGAAGCTAATCCGTTGAAATCGTTCTTTAAAATGCTGTCGAGCTCGGTCCATATTTGACTCAAGATCCTATTAAAGGTCTTATACTAAAACTGAAACTGATTTTCCTATTAGTATCGATATTTGATATTTGATCGATAAATAAAGAACTATGTCCCTGGTTAGGGGCGGTTTTCAAAATTATGAACACATGTGTTGATAGGCGGTGGATAACATTCAACATATCCGATTCAAATTCTTCGCTTTGATATTTTATATACATTTTAAACTCTACTTTATACATATGAATAATTTTCTAACAAATATATAATATTCTTAATTACAGGTAACAAATCATTTAAAGGCGGCAATTCGACTGGCAATATTCAGAAGCCCGCAAAATTGTTAATACTCTTCGTTTTTAGTTGTCTAAGTGTATATTTAAGAAAACTGTTATAATTCTTTTAGTCATAAATACATATTTTTCAAACAGTAAAAATTTAAAAATAAATTCCAATATACTAAATTTTATACTATACATATAACTACGTAAAACTCTGCATTTGTATAATTTTTCCATTTTCGGGGAGGGTGGTTTTTTTTCCACAACAACAGCTGTATGATTTTTCCACTCAGCTGTCTTTGCAGAGACTGCGTTCTGCATATCACCTTGACAGTATTGATTTTCTTGACGATACTGTTATACATTTTACATTTATCCTGCCAGTAACATTAAAAACGCTACGTATTTTGTTTAAATTCGCAAGAAATTTTGTTTGAGTTTAAAGAAATTTAAAAAAATAAAAAAAAAATCTAAACAAATAATGAAATTAATTTATATCATTCCAATACTATGTTTAGTATCTTTGGCTGCAGCTAATATTAGTGGGCCATATTTATTTTGGGGTCATGAAAAAGTCATAAATCTACAGCCCCGTGCATTGGTTGAGGCATCAGAAAATGATTTTTCAAATTTATTTCGTGACGTTAAGGCCATAGTGATATTTGTACGTAATAATACAAAACGTTTAGATGCTCAACAATATCCGAAGTTTAGACAATTGGTAAAAGATAATGCCTGGACCTATTTGCCACAGCATTCATTAACTGCCGATCCCTTTAATTATAATGCCAATATAGAGGTGAGGTGTTTTTTCCAAAGAAGAAAATAATGTGTATAACAAAATTTTTATAAAAAAAATTTACAGGTTATTAATTTAAGTGGTTCTGCTGAAGAAAGTGATTCTGAAATTGTTTCGGGTTACGCGGATGCCTTGTCCATTTATGGTGAAGGTGAAGTTTTGGGTATTCTAGCCAGTCGTGAAGAAGAAGCTCATTTTATTGCGAAACGTGAAGCTAAAGAGGGTGAATTTGACGAAGGCAGAAGTACAACTTTCTCACCTCCCTTAAGTGAAGAAACCGAGGAGAGTTTTATTTATGTAGCTGGAGGTAAGTTTGTAATTAAAAATAATATAAATATTTCCCAAGGAGGTCTAACTCTTATAAAGATATTTAATTGAATTTTAAATTTTTTATAAATGCTTTCCCACAGGCAAAAAAGCCATACTCTATGTAAACTATGCACCCGAATTGAATCTCACCTCTATGAATGTCAGCTTTGTTCTGAAGGAACACAATAAGGAAATAACATTTGACGATCAAAGTCCCAAGGGCTATGGACGTTTGAATATTATATTTAAAGTTGGTGAAGAGAAATTATTTATGCGTTTTAATTTCACTTTAAGTCGTGGTACCTGGTCAATGAAGGCCGTTGAAATTGAGTATAGCGGTTATAAGAATATTTTACCCGTTGTGGGTAATATGTATAATGTACCATCGGCGCCGGTAGGATTTTCATATCGTTGTTCATCGCAAGACTTGTGGTTTACTAATGGAACGGATGTTTTAAAGATTAGCGATTATCAGGTGAGTTGAAGGATAATTTATACTAAATGTAAAGTAAATTCCGGAAAGCGGCCCTAGTAAGTTAGATTGTTTAAAAAAAAGATGTACTCCAAGGATTCTTTCGGTCCATTGTCTCTAGTGGGAATCGAACCCACGACCTCTGGTCTGACAGACTACAACATTAACTACTGAGTACGTGGACGATTTATTGACTAATTAAGGGGGTTAGGAGGGTTTATATCGGTATATGATAAATTATGGATCAATCCTCATGATATTTTTAGAAAGATTTTAACCCCTATAAAACTTGTTTATGTTGAATTTCTTTTTAAAATCTGTTATAGTCGTTAAAGTAGTTTCTTTAAGGGAACTTTATATGGAGGCTGAGGTCAAATACGTCGCGATGAAGCTATTCGTTATGCATAACAGTATAATTTCCAGCCATCAGCTAGCTCAATTCATAATCATGTGTAATTATATCACAACTTGAAGAATATATAGAAATGCACCATTGCTTAAATATGCAATCTAAATACACACGATTTTGAATTGAGCTATTGCAACACTTTCTGAATACTTCAACTTTTTACGGTTTTTTAGGTACAACCTTGGTTTAATGATATGTTTGAAGACGGTGGTGATGTTTACAATTGTGATGGCTTTTTCATCAAACTTCCCGGGTGGATTGGCATAATACTGGGTATATTTATTTGCATCATTATGCATATTACCGTTCAATCCCTTGTGGATTATATATATTAGCGTGCCCGGGGTGCTTCTCTATCCTAATCGAAGTAAAAAAAATAAATAAATTACAAAAGTATAAAAGGATATCATGTGAACACTGTCATAAATATGCATATTAGAATAAAGTACCTTTTCATCACTACTAAAAATCTAAGTTAAGGTTTTTATGTACCTACTCATGTAGGTACGTTCGATTTAATGTCTCTTGGTCCAATATTAGGAAAACTTCAAAAAGTACCATTTTACCATTGGCAAGCATACAAAAGTATCATTTTAATGGAAGGACAAACTCATTTTACCCCTAACATTTGGTGGGAATAAAAAATGACAAAAAATGTCTTACACACGACTTTACCAACACTGTCAAATTGCATGAGGTTCGATCCATAATTGACCCTCAATAACAGGCATGGAAAATTTAAATATTTTAAAATAGTACTTCTAACAAAAAGAGCACTTTTTAGGTATTTTAGAGTAGAAAACTAATTTCCGCTAGAATATAGCCTACATACTAGTCTTTAGACTAGACTATAGACTACATACTAGTCTATAGACTAGACTATATACTAGTCTTTAGACTAGACTATAGACTAGACTATAGACCATACTATAGACTAGATTATAGACTAGACTATAGACTAGACTATAGACTAGACTATAGACTAGACTATAGACTAGACTATAGACTAGACTATAGACTAGACTATAGACTAGACTATAGACTAGACTATAGACTAGACTATAGACTAGACTATAGACTAGACTATAGACTAGACTATAGACTATAGACTAGACTATAGACTAGACTATAGACTAGACTATAGACTAGACTATAGACTAGACTATAGACTAGACTATAGACTAGACTAGACTATAGACTAGACTATAGACTAGACTATAGACTAGACTATAGACTAGACTATAGACTAGACTATGGACTAGACTATAGACTAGACTATAGACTAGACTATAGACTAGACTATAGACTAGACTATAGACTAGACTATAGACTAGACTATAGACTAGACTATAGACTAGACTATAGACTATAGACTAGACTAGACTAGACTATAGACTAGACTATAGACTAGACTATAGACTAGATTATAGACTAGACTATAGACTAGACTATAGACTAGACTATAGACTAAACTATAGACTAGACTATAGACTAAAATATAGACTAGACTATAGACTAGACTATAGACTAGACTATAGACTAGACTATAGACTAGACTATAGACTAGACTATAGACTAGACTATAGACTAGACTATAGACTAGACTATAGACTAGACTATAGACTAGACTATAGACTAGACTATAGACTAGACTATAGACTAGACTATAGACTAGACTATAGACTAGACTATAGACTAGACTATAGACTAGACTATAGACTAGACTATAGACTAGACTATAGACTAGACTATAGACTAGACTATAGACTAGACTATAGACTAGACTATAGACTAGACTATAGACTATATTATAGACTAGACTATAGACTAGACTATAGACTAGACTATAGACTAAACTATAGACTAGACTATAGACTAAAATATAGACTAGACTATAGACTAGACTATAGACGAGACTATAGACTAGACTATAGACTAGACTATAGACTAGACTATAGACTAGACTATAGGACTAGATTATAGACTAGACTATAGACTAGACTATAGACTAGACTATAGACTAAGACTATAGACTAAACTATAGACTAGACTATAGACTAGACTATAGACTAGACTATAGACTAGACTATAGACTAGACTATAGACTAGACTATAGACTAGACTATAGACTAGACTATAGACTAGACTATAGACCTAGACTATAGACTAGACTATAGACTAGATTATAGACTAGACTATAGACAGCTAGACTAAATATAGACTAGACTATAGACTAAACTATAGACTAGACTATAGACTAGACTATAGAATAGACTATAGGACTAGACTATAGACTAGACTATAGACTAGCTATAGACTAGACTATAGACTAGACTATAGACTAGACTATAGACTAGACTATAGACTAGACTATAGACTAGACTATAGACTAGACTATAGACTAGACTATAGACTAGACTATAGACTAGACTATAGACTAGACTATAGACTAGACTAGACTATAGACTAGACTATAGACTAGACTAGACTAGACTATAGACTAGACTATAGACTAGACTATAGACTTAGACTAGACTATATACTAGAGACTAGACTATAGACTAGACTATAGACTAGACTATAGACTAGACTATAGACTAGACTATATAGACTATAGACTAGACTATAGACTAGACTATAGACTAGACTATAGACTAGACTATAGACTAGACTATAGACTAGACTATAGACTAGACTATAGACTAGACTATAGACTAGACTATAGACTAGACTATAGACTAGACTATAGACTAGACTATAGACTAGACTATAGACTAGACTATAGACTAGACTATAGACTAGACTATAGACTAGACTAGACTAGACTATAGACTAGACTATAGACTAGACTAGACTATAGACTATAGACTAGACTAGAACTAGACTATAGACTAGACTATAGACAGACTAGACTAGACTAGACTAGACTATAGACTAGACTATAGACTAGACTATAGACTAGACTATAGACTAGACTATAGACTAGACTATAGACTAGACTATAGACTAGACTATAGACTAGACTATAGACTAGACTATAGACTAGACTATAGACTAGACTATAGACTAGACTATAATATAGACTAAAATATACACTAGATTATAGACTATACTATAGAATAGAATAGACTATAAACTAGACTATAGTTGGTCAACACTGTACTTAGGACTAGACTATACTAAAGGCTAGACTGTAGACTGGACTAAACTATACATAGACCGGACATGGACTAGTCTGGAGTAAATTATGGACCAGATAATAGAGTCCAGACAATATACTAGGCAGTAGACTAGGCAATGGACTTGACTGTAGACAGGACTATAAAATAGACCACAGGCTAGAATATAAACTTGACCGTAGACTAGATTATAGGCTGGTCTATTGAGTACTGTACTGTTTGAACTACTTATCAAACGTTTTTAAGTTCGAAAAAGTACGGAAAATGTCGTGAAGATACTGCAGTACTTTTCGATATCAAAAGGTACTGAAAAAAGTACTAAAGTACTGATATATGTTTTTATTTGTAATAGTTTTAATTTTGTGATGGTCTATCCGCACAAAATTCATGTTTCCATAGCACTTCCAATTGTATTTCAGAACTTTCTATTTTAATTTCAGAAATTTCTAGTTATATTTCAGAAATTTCTAATTATACTTCAGAAATATCGATTTATATTTCAGAATATAAATTATACATGTATATATTGCAAAACCTGATTCGTTAGGATTGTGAATAGTATCATTTAAAGTATAAATTATATATTAAAAGCATTTAAATGATATTTACAATTTTCTAAATAAGTATACGTTTTAATTACATCTTTCTCTTCCTTGTTTTAGGTACAACCTTGGCTAAATGGTGCCTCTGAATTCGGTGATGTTTACGATTGTGTCGGCTTTACAACAGCACCCATATGGGCTGGCGTTTTAGTCAGTCTATTTCTCTGTGGCATATTGTCCATAGGTATTTTAGCTCTGATGGATATAAAGACACCAAATCGTTTTGAAAGTTCTCGCAGCAAACAATTAACATTTACTGTGCAAGAATAATTCGTTCAAGGGGAATAAGTAGTCAGAAAGTTTAATAAACATAACAGCAAACAAGTGAAACACAATTTAAGATCCAATATGTTTGTCCACATGGTGGTGAGCATTATAAAACCTTTACTATTATTGGCTTTGGCCGTGCAAATATTTCTTATACAATCATTATTTATTTGCATTGTTTTATATATTTATTTATGTTTATTTTATAATAATTAATTAAGTTATATGTAATTTATTTATGCTGTTAATGTATATTTTAACCCCCTTAAAAAAGACAAATGTTGCTATTTATAAATTGTAAAATGCAAAAAGATATTTATGTATGTATGTATACATAGTTGCTAATATAAAATCTTAATCTTATAGATACAATAAAAATTACATACTCAAAGTTTAAATCTGAAACAACTAATGAATGTACTTCAAACTGATAGTTGTACGAAAAAAATCATACAAAACTTTTTAAATGTTGTTTTATTTCTATTAGTATATTTTTAATAGCCGTTGTTGTTGTAGTTATTTTTACAATTTTACTTTCTAATTTGTTGACCAAATAAGTACAACAACTACAAAAGCAACAAGAAAATTTAAGATGAAAAAAATACACACATTTTTTTCTTACAAAATAAAAATCTACTTTTTTACACACCTCTAGCAGTTGGTGGGTCTTACATACGAGCATATTAATATAAGATATGGGTGTTTCCATGTGGGTTAAGAAAATTATTTGAATCAAATCGCCTCAGTTCTGAAATTTCAATATGATTTTATCAAATAGAATTATCGGTCTAAAAATGACAGAGTTCTTAAATATTTTCCCTTATTATTGTGTGTATAATTAGGACAACATTCAACCATTCTCCTCTGGTCAAAGCAGATAAAACGTGTGATCCTAATACTTTAGGTTAAAAGTAGGATATATTTTACATCAGATTGGGTCTGTTGTGAACTTTAAGAAAAGATCAATGAAAGGAAGTATTTCAGTTTCTTGGATGTAGTTCCTTAGAATTTTGCTTTAATGTTCCTGAAGGATCTAATTTCGACAAAAATTTCCCTTAATGTTCCTGAAGGATCTAATTTCGACGAAAGCCTGGCAATGTCAGAGAAAATGTTTCAGCGTTTCAATGTCCTCTCCGCATGCTATATATTCATCTGAATCTGTTCGACCAAATTTGCATAGTTGTGCCTGTAAAACTGTGTGTCCATTAAGAATACTTATGGATCATTCTGAATACCATCATTCTGAAGATGTTTCTAGTCCAGCTCTTATTGAGGTTACTCCCTGGGATTTTAGTGAACGTACTAACCGTTCAATAATTCCAAGTGGGATTCCCTCGTCCATGTTTTAATTTAGCCCTCGATCATAAAGATCACTCCTATATACAAGTATATTCGCCGCTGTATCGGCGATTATCCCCGAGCGGTACCAGACCGCTGATGCAGAGTTTACTACTGGAAAAGTATTCGGTTATAGCTCTTTTAAAGTCCAATGCTTTCTTAGACTTAACCTTATCGGATGATATCGCTTTAATTGCTTCTGAAATGTCCAGCAATGTTTCTAAAGGTGACTTTGGTCAATTCGTCTTAAGACGACTGACGAGTGCAAGATCGTATTTGACACGCGTTTGATCGGATGAATGCCCAGCAGTGTTTCTCTAGCTCTTTAGTACTTCGATGAATATAGGGGCGGTGATGGATCATTTTAAGTTCAGCCTATCGGTACTGTAATTCTGCTAAAAATAATTTTGGGACGACTTTTTTATGGGCTGAATTGGATGTATATAGAATAGGGTAATCTTTGGTTTCATCAGATAGAAGCAACATGACACCCGGATTATCAAACAATCGAAATTTTGCCCACTAAGTTGTTGCATCTTAATCCAAGAGAAATCGAAGTCATCGATATCGAAAGCTTGAGAGCTACAAAACTAGGTCATTGGCTTTTTACAGGCAAAAAATGGAAGATATTAAACTGAATAATCTTTCAGATGTCACACAGATCATCAAACAATCGATATTTTACGCTCCAAGTCATAAATTTTGGCCTCCTCGGAACTGACATTGATAACTTTAAACTTTTGCTAATGGTTAACACTTAAAGACCGATATTTTCTTTTAAACAAACTTACAATATTTCTATGGAGACCGCCATATATTTACATTCAACAAAAGTGAAAAGGCTCCTCACATACATAACTACAACAAAAAGCCACACACAAACTACATACATGCAAAAAATATTAAGAATAAATAAATAATAAAACTGAGATGAAAAAACAACTAAACATTTACAAAAAAAACATAAAGTTGTGATAAAAATCATTTACAAAAATAGCAAACCGTTAAAGAAAACCGAAATACTCGCACACACACACACAACGCAGCCTCTGGTTTATAGATCAACTTTTCATTTCTTTCAAATACTCGTATAAATAAATAAAATTTTTAAAAGGTAATTTAATTTTTCTTCTTTCCAAAAACCCCTAGAGCTTAGTTAGTAATGCAGGTTCTCCTTTCGCGGCTATATGGTGTCCTCATCATCAGCTGCAGTTGCTGCAGCATCACTACTTACATGTTTGGACAAATACACACATGCCGGTTAGTAATATACTACAAGTAATACTTTGGACAAACTGACCAAATTACTTTCGTTGTCGTTTCAATAAAAAACGAAATTTCTTGTGCTACTTTTCTGGGCGATTATAGTACATACTTGCGTTACAATACTTCTGCCATCCATCCAATAGTAACCACACTCCACCAAAGCTTAACAAACAACACAAGCACAATTAAAACATAATAATCAAGTGGTTGGACCAGGTTGGACTGACGTTCAGTCTGTCCCGTTGTCTGGCAGTTAACGCTTAAAGCCGGCTGTTAGAGTTAGTTAGCAGGCAGTCGGGCGAGCTAAGCTGGTTTCTAAAGACTCTTGTCAGTCTGCGACAAATGTTTATTTGCTGGCAGTGATAGTGAATCTTTTGGCATTAGAAATATAAATGGAATGTGTACATGAATGATGTCGAGGATTCAGGCTAAATGTTAAATTTGATATATGGTTTTCAATATGAAAATTAAATGAATTACATTGTTGTTGAAAAGGATCATAGTAGTAATAAACTACTTTTGTTAAAAATTGCAAATGCTCTGCCATGATTTCCAATTGTACTTATTTATTAAGTACATATCGGCTTGATTACAAAACTGAGCAAATACTTAAAAGCCAATTACTTGACACCATCCTGTTAAAATAATGATTTAAAATTCTAATGTGCATCTTATTGATAGCTTTTGTGATAAAATTTTTTGTTGAGTATTTTTAAATAACAATTAAAAATACTTTCATTATTAAGTTGAAAATCTTTGCATGTTCCAAATTAGAAATCTATAGATCGTTATTAGGTCTATTAATATAAGCATCAAGAAACATTGAAGATTTCTGCAATATCAAAAGCTTAATATACTATTTTGAATTCCTTACTATAGTCTAGTCTTGTGTATAGTATAGTCTATAGTCAAGTCTAGTCTATAGTCTGGTGTATAGCGTAGTCTATAGTGAGTCTAGTCTATAGTCTAGTCTAGTCTATAGTCTAGTCTAGTCTATAGTCTAGTCTAGTCTATAGTCTAGTCTAGTCTAGTCTATAGTCTAGTCTAGTCTATAGTGAGTCTAGTCTATAGTGAGTCTAGTCTATAGTGAGTCTAGTCTATAGTGAGTCTAGTCTATAGTGAGTCTAGTCTATAGTGAGTCTAGTCTATAGTGAGTCTAGTCTATAGTGAGTCTAGTCTATAGTGAGTCTAGTCTATAGTGAGTCTAGTCTATAGTGAGTCTAGTCTATAGTGAGTCTAGTCTATAGTGTGTCTAGACTATAGGGAGTCTAGACTATAGGGAGTCTAGTCTATAGTGAGTCTAGTCTATAGGGAGTCTAGTCTATAGTGAGTCTAGTCTATAGTGAGTCTAGTCTATAGTGAGTCTAGTCTATAGTCTAGTCTATAGTCTAGTCTATAGTCTAGTCTATAGTCTAGTCTATAGTCTAGTCTATAGTCTAGTCTATAGTCTAGTCTATAGTCTAGTCTATAGTCTAGTCTATAGTCTAGTCTATAGTCTAGTCTATAGTCTAGTCTATAGTCTAGTCTATAGTCTAGTCTATAGTCTAGTCTATAGTCTAGTCTATAGTCTAGTCTATAGTCTAGTCTATAGTCTAGTCTATAGTCTAGTCTATAGTCAGTCTATAGTCTAGTCTATAGTCTAGTCTATAGTCTAGTCTATAGTCTAGTCTATAGTCTAGTCTATAGTATAGTCTATAGTCTAGTCTATAGTCTAGTCTATAGTCTAGTCTATAGTCTAGTCTATAGTCTAGTCTATAGTCTAGTCTATAGTCTAGTCTATAGTCTAGTCTATAGTCTAGTCTATAGTCTAGTCTATAGTCTAGTCTATAGTCTAGTCTATAGTCTAGTCTATAGTCGTCATAGTCTAGTCTATAGTCTAGTCTATAGTCTAGTCTATAGTCTAGTCTATAGTCTAGTCTATAGTCTAGTAGTATAGTCTAGTCTAGTCTAGTCTATAGTCTAGTCTATAGTCTAGTCTATAGTCTAGTCTATAGTCTAGTCTAGTAGTCTATAGTCTAGTCTATAGTTTAGTCTATAGTCTAGTCTATAGTCTAGTCTATAGTTTAGTCTATAGTCTAGTCTATAGTCTAGTCTAGTCTATAGTCTAGTCTAGTCTATAGTCTAGTCTAGTCTATAGTCTAGTCTATAGTCTAGTCTATAGTCTAGTCTATAGTCTAGTCTATAGTCTAGTCTATAGTCTAGTCTATAGTCTAGTCTATAGTCTAGTCTATAGTCTAGTCTATAGTCTAGTCTATAGTCTAGTCTATAGTCTAGTCTATAGTCTAGTCTATAGTCTAGTCTATAGTCTAGTCTATAGTCTAGTCTATAGTCTAGTCTATAGTCTAGTCTATAGTCTAGTCTATAGTCTAGTCTATAGTCTAGTCTATAGTCTAGTCTATAGTATAGTCTATAGTCTAGTCTATAGTCTAGTCTATAGTCTAGTCTATAGTCTAGTCTATAGTCTAGTCTATAGTCTAGTCTATAGTCTAGTCTATAGTCTAGTCTATAGTCTAGTCTATAGTCTAGTCTATAGTCTAGTCTATAGTCTAGTCTATAGTCTAGTCTATAGTCTAGTCTATAGTCTAGTCTATAGTCTAGTCTATAGTCTAGTCTATAGTCTAGTCTATAGTCTAGTCTATAGTCTAGTCTATAGTCTAGTCTATAGTCTAGTCTATAGTCTAGTCTATAGTCTAGTCTATAGTCTAGTCTATAGTCTAGTCTATAGTCTAGTCTATAGTCTAGTCTATAGTCTAGTCTATAGTCTAGTCTATAGTCTAGTCTATAGTCTAGTCTATAGTCTAGTCTATAGTCTAGTCTATAGTCTAGTCTATAGTCT